CCCATCTTCCTTTACTTTATATGTGGGACACCTGCCACAGCACGGCCTGATGAGCGGTGCCATGTCCGCACCCGGGATCCAAACTGGCGAACCCTGGGCCTCTGAAGCGGAACCTGAGCACTTAACCCCTGCACCACCGAGCTGGCCTTGGCAACCTAAGTCTTTAGCTTCATCCCAGCCACACTTCATTCTTAAAGAACAGGAAGGCAAGCAGACCCATCTCCAGTTACACAATTCTCATTTGTACCATTTCTTCCATCAAGCCTGTGTAAAAATCTCTCCTCGCCCCCAAATATTTCCTCCCCTTCCCCTGGAAATCCCTTGTCCCTCACGTCCTTATTTCGTTATGGTATAATTCTTTGGCCATTTTAGGGAGGAATAAAAATGGAGTCTTTTCTAATGTGGAGCACATTTACTCACACTTCTACAGCTACAAAAGGTTCCTACCCGCTGGTTGATTCATGATAATAGTAGCTTTCACTGACTGACTGTTTGTATCAGGCATGCAATTTTAGTAGAAGTTGTGGAATTTGGAAATTACTACTGGAATAGCTGGAAAACCAAATGAGACATTCCAGGAAATTCGGTTCTGGGCAAATACATTCATCGCATCTGCACTCGCTCCCTCAGCACGTGCGCCAGGCCCTGGCTGCACCACGGTCCAAGGCTGGGCCTGCCTTCCAGGAGGGCACAGCTGACTGAAGAGAGAGCTGCACACACATTCCTGCAGTTCCCCGAACGATAAGTGACAAGTTCAGAGTTCAGACGGCAGATACTGCAGGGAGCTAGAAATAGGAAAGATCAAAAAGCATGAATGTGAAGCAAAGAAAATATTTGTATTCCCTACAGCCCAGGGCCCAGAACCTACTGACCCTCTATGGAAGCCTGCCTGGGAGAAGTGGGCACCGGCCAACTGGCCCCAAACACTTCCCATTGATCCCCATATTCCGGACGCCCTCACGAGTGCTCAGGGACGAGCCCCCGTAGATTGGAATGTTCCTGGGGAAACTCAGTATTAATCTTTCTCTTGTCCTTTCCGCACATCCTTAGATGAAAAGGCAGCTTTGAGAGCACTAACAGAGTCTAAAATAAACGTGAAGGAATCGGAGCCTCGCCCTGAGGGCTGGGAAGCAATCTTCCATGCCTCCCGACCGGAAAGGAGCTCCGAGGCTTCCCCAACACAGGACGCGCTCAACATCTGGACCTCAATTATCTGGCACTCTGAACACAGCTTCCCATACAAACAGTACATAAATCAGGGCTCGTTCTCAGATCAGGCCGACAAAGCTCCATAGCAATGCCTGCAGTACCAAAAGCACAGTGCCGCACTATTTTCTCCAGATCTTTCATTGAGATTTAATTCCCATACAGTTCACTCTTTTAAAGTACACAATTCAGTGGTTTTAGCATATTCACAAGATTGTGCAACCATCACCGCTACCTAATTTTAGAATATTTTGTCACCTCCCCAAAAAAATCCGGTACCCATTAGCACTCCTCCTTCCCCCACAGCCCCTCACAACCACTCATCTAGTTTCTCTCTGCAGATTTACCTATTGTGGCACCTCGCATAAACAGTAGCACAAAATATGTGGCCTTCTGAGTCTGGCTTCTTTCACTCAGCACGTTTTCAAGGCTCATCCAAGTTATAACATGTATCAATACCTCATTTATTTTTCAAAAGCCTTTTTTTTTTTTTTAAAGATTTTTTTATTTTTCCCTTTTTCTCCCCAAAGCCCCCCGTACATAGTTGTATATTCTTCATTGTGGGTCCTTCTAGTTGTGGCATGTGGGACGCTGCCTCAGCATGGTCTGATGAGCAGTGCCATGTCCGCGCCCAGGATTCGAACCAACGAAACACTGGGCCGCCTGCAGCGGAGCGCGCGAACTTAACCACTCGGCCACGGGGCCAGCCCCTCAAAAGCCTTTTAAAAGTTCATACTTTCTACCTCAAATGGAATTCCATTTCTAAGAATTTATACTATGGAAACAATCTGAAATGTACAAAAGGATCTGTGTACAAGTGTACATCACAGTATTATTTATGACAGGAAAAAATGGAGTGTTCAATATAGGGACTGGTTAAACAAACTTACACGTGTAACAAATGGAATACCATGCAACACTAAGAAACAAGATTTTGAAGGATATTGTAAGAGAAAAAGCTCATTGTTCAGTGAAGAAAGAATGTTAAAAACTATATTTTATTAAATATATTTGGTGGGAATGACATAAACCAAAATATATTACTCGTTATCTTCGTATAAGAATAATACGGATGGTTTTAAATTTCCTATTGGTATTTATGTACTTCAAAATTTTCTTCAGTAACTTGAATGATCAGAAAAGTTATTTGTCTTTAATAACATTTTTCTACTAGGAGAAAAAACAACTTTTGGAATGTGAATAGAAAGGTACTCTGGGGCCCGGCCCCGTGGTCGAGTGGTTAAGTTCACCTGCTCCACTTCGGCGGCCCAGGGTTTCACCAGTTCAGATCCTGGGCGCGGACATGGCACCGCTCATCAGACCACGCTGAGGCAGCGTCCCACATGCCACAACCAGAAGGACCTACAACTAGGATATACAACTATGTACTGAGGGGATTTGGGGAGAAAAAGCAGGAAAAAAAAAAAAAGAAGACTGGCAACAGTTGTCAGCTTAGGTGCCAATCTTTAAGAAAAAAAAAAAAAAAGGCACTCAGAGTTAAATGCAGAGTCCCTCATGTTTTTTTATTTTTATATATATGAAAATAAGAATATGCCAATCAATAAGTTGTTTTAAAAAGATGTGAAAAGCAGAAAAAAGACAATAAATATAAATCCAGAAACTGAATTAGGTAACAGAAAAATGGAATTGATCAATAAACCAAGAACAAGTTCTCTTAAAAGCAAAAAATAATAAGATTTTAAGAAATCTGACAAGAAAAACAAGGGCTAAAAAAATAAAATTAAAAACGCAACAGAGACTCTAACCAGAGACAAAAATGTTTAAAGTGCAAATAACACCTGTTCCTAAATTTGAAGGTGTGGAATAAGCGGGAAGGTAAATTACAAAAAACTGACTCAAGAAGTGAAAAAGCTCAAATGATCTAAAAGCAAAAATAAACCTTCTAAGTTTATTTATAGCCTTACCTCCCTGAAAAGTCTTAATGACAGGTGAAGTAAGTTCTCTCAAACATTCAAAAAACAATCAATTCTAAAGCTACATAAAATCTTCCAGAACACATAAAATCATGGAAAGTTACTAAGTGAATTTTATAGGGGTAGTTTCACTCTGAAATCAAAACACAAGAAAGGCTACCTTATACCCCAAAGAAAAGCACACATGGATGGGGAAATTCTAAATCCAAAATTAGGCTGTAAAACTTAACATTACCAAGAACAATTTTATTATTAGGAAACATACAAATACCTAAAACCAACCTGATCATCTAAATTAATGCCAAAACACTCCAGTGAAATTCAACACCTGTTCCTATTAAAAATTCTAAAAGCAACAAATCAAAGAATAATCCATTTACATAGTTTAGTTTAGCCAGTAAGTAAACACTGAAATTAATGGAGAAAAAGTAAAAATATTCCAAGTAAAACAAAGAATAAAATGAGAGAGACCATCAGGAAAGTCTGGCTAACTTGATAAGCCATGAAGCAAAACCAAGAACAGTTAGTTACATCAAAACAAAATAAGTAGAAGTTTAAATGGAGGAAGGAAAATTCCATTCGTATCAGCAACACCAACAATCAATCCATAAATCAATACATAAGACAAAACAAAACCTTAAGGTATCTGAAACCAACACTAACCCAAAATGTCAAATCCTAAAGCTGAAGAAAATTACCCACCTTGACTGAGTTATAAAAGAGTTGAAAAAAATTAGGGAGCATACTTTATTTCTAGATGGGATAGCTTAATAATACACATGAGGAAAAATATTTTTAAATATACCATTCTTGCTATTAGAGTCACACTTTATACACGTAGGTTCTAAAGTCAGCCCCTGAAGCCAAAATTGTGAAGTCACACAAGAAATGCTATCTAGCCCTTAAAAAATATGATGAATGTTTAGAGCAAGCGACATGGGAAAATGTCCACCATCAATTGTCAAGAGAAAAAAAACCAGGTGTAAAACGAAAGGACAGTATGGTCTCAGGGCGTATGTGGGTAAAGACACAGATATTCAGAAATAAGGATAAACACTCCAGAGCGAGCAGATGGCTACCTGTGGGTGGTGAGGTCACATGATTTCATGCATTTAGAATTTCTACAGAAAGTACAACAGAACTTTAAAAATTCAGGGTGGGGGGTGGGGTGAGGACAGTTGAAAAGTAAAAAGCAAAAGAAATACACCAAAATAGCAACATTCTATGTTTTGAGGTGGCTGAACTATGGCTGTTTCTTAAATTGCTTCAACAGATTTTTCTGTATTTTCCAAATTTTATTTTCTACAATAATCATGAAAAACAAACCTCTATGCAAAACTGATAGAGAAATGTAAACTACGACACATCAGAAAAATCCATTTGGATCCTCTTGTTGTTTTGTGCTTACATGTGGCAAATTCTGTTATTCTCCAACCAGTGTTGTTTTAAGGATTAGATTCAAAATTTACCAGGAATCATTCCAATCAGAGAGAAAAGAATGAAAAAGTCTAAACTGCTCACACACATTTGCTCAAATTAAAAAGGAAAGCCAAGGTGGCCGGCCTGGTGGCACAGCAGTTCAGTTCACGTGCTCCACTTCAGTCGCCCAGGGTTCACGGGTTTGGACCCTGGGTGTGGACCTACACACTGCTCATCAATGAGCACCACACCATGCTGTGGTGGTGTCCCACATACAAAACAGAGGAAGATGGGCACAGATGCTAGTTCAGGGCCAATCTTCCTCAGGCAAAAAGAGGAAGATTGGCAACAGATGTCAGCTCAGGGTCAATCTTCCTCACCAAAAAAAAAAGGGGGGAAAACCAAATGTGGTAACTGAGAAAGGTGTGTGTCCAGACTTACCGTAAAACTGTTGTTGACGTTTTTGGTGCTGGATTCGGCCACACTGGCATCTGTCAGGTCCACCTCATCAAATATGATCGACTGGAGAGAGACACAGGGACTGCGGTCAGCACGGGACAAGGCACCCCGAGGCAGCACCTTCGTGAGCCCTGGCCCAGTGCTGCCCACACGCTCCCTCGACCCCAGTCCAGCACCCGCAGACACCCCCGGGCCTTGAAACAGGAGCCCTGGATGAACACTAGGAGAGCCCAGCATCTCTGCCTCTCAGAGCAGCAAGCTCACAGGTGCAGCTCTGTGGCTGTCTCAGTCCAGGAGTTCATTAGTGATGGCATCCACACAGAGCAAACACAGAAAACCAAAAACAAGGCTGGGGTTTCTACATTTACTTCTCGTAAACCAGCGTGACACCGTTAAATGTGAAATATGTGTCACACGGAGTCCCCCTGAGAGAGCAGGGGTCGGGCCTGAGCACCCTCTGTCCTTCCAGCTAGCGCATTTAGGGGGAAAGGTCCTGGCTAAAGCAAATGATTCCAGGGGAAGAGAAACAACCCAAATGGAAGGGATCGGGCCGTGAAAGAAAACAAGGGAGCAGGGCAGAAGGAATCTAGAACGACAGAGAGTCAGTAAGCCTCCAGAGCAAGGGCTGGGAATCAGGCCTGGCCGCTGCCCCCATTTTCTTCTCCTTTCTCCCCCAAATCCCCCCATCACAGCCCCCACCCTGTCTACCTTACTGTCCCCTCTAAGAGGACTCCACCGGGAACCCCTGGAGGAAATACTAGTAACTTAGAAAAGAGATTCAGCCTTTTAAGTAACCTCCCCTCCCCTCCCCCCGCCACAGAACTAAAATAACTATAAGAGTTTTTTTTAAAAATGAGGGATGTGGTCAGAACCCGTTCTAAATAAGTTGCTCTGTTCAATTTCAAATTTTAATGCACTAACTCTCTAGGGATGTATCTCAAACTGTAAATACTCAGATTCCAGATTTTTTTAATGCCAAAATATCAGTACTGACAGCAATACTGATATAAAAATACTGGCATTCAGAATACCAAAAACTAGCTTTGCAAACACACTGGTGTGTTTGAAATGTGTAACGCCACATTCATTCAAACATGGCAGTAACTTAGTAACTTTTGCTGGCTCCTCCTCTCTCATTAGCAACTGCATGGCAATTCTAGCTTAAATCTTAAGTGCAAGATGACACACAGAAAGAAGATCATGGCTAGAAAGCTGGGAGATAAAGGATTTCACAGTTCTGTTCATGCCACAAGAAATTCATACACTTCAAAACACTTGTAGTTAGTTTCATGGGTGTATACCTACCTCCAAACTCATCAAGTTGTATACATTAAATATCCACAGCTTTTTGCATGGAAATTATACTTCAGTAATGGGGTTTAAAAAAATATATTTTAGTCACTAATAAAAGATTCACAAGCCTGTGACCTCCAATCTTTCTGAAAGAAAGATATCCAACTGTAATGTGGTTATCTGTGACATTTTCTCCTTTCCCCACGGTGACACATGACATTTAAGAAAAAGGAAACGAATAAAAATCAGTGTTTATAAGAAATAAAACATGTCTTGAGACAAAATAAGCACCCAGAGAATTACGAAACTTGCTGGAAGTAACAGATCTAAGACTCCAGGGCCTTTCCCAGGATGAGGACTCAGTGCCTGAGCACCCCCCGGCAGCTCCTCTCTCGGTTTCCCCCGTGAAGCTTCGTCCACTGCTCCTCACCTTCGCGGTCTTTGCGTAGTACAGCGTGCGCCCTCGAAGCTTAAAGTATCTCCTCTTTGATCGCTGGAATGAATTGTTCTGTTTGGTCAGCATCCCCTCCTTGATGACGGTCTGGAAGCACAGAAGCATATTCGTGAGCATGTGCCCTGCTGAACCGCACACTGACAGTGCAGGGCACTCACGTCTCTAGCCGAGGGCCTAACAGAAATATTTCTCACACTCTCCCCAGACCTTGACCTACGGACAGACCAAGCAAGCTGCGGGAGAGGGCGAGCACAATTCTCTGAGGGGCAGTGGCGTGCCTGAGTGGCGGGGGTGTCGGGGGCCCGAGGTGTGCCCTGGACACGGCCAGGGCATCAGCAGAAGGGGCCACGAGGCTCGTAGGACCACAGTGGGCAGCAGGGGGCCAGCGCACTCTCCAACTTCGGCATTTGGTATTTTTCAGCTATTCTTGGCGCTGTCTCCGTGTTGTCTGGCCTCCTGCCATTTCTCAGGAGCCTGTTGCCAAAACTGTCGACGTAGGTTGCTGTGGGGTTCAGTGCGGCTCCAGGCCTGCACCCCCCTCAGGCCTCACCCCATTCACAGGCCGGGCATGCGCATCTGGCCGCCCGTGAAAGAGAAGGGCCACGGCCAAGTCATTAAAATTCTCTCCTGCCGTCAGTCTGATCAGGAGTTCTCTCCAGAGAATCAGAGGTAGACGCTCGCCTCAGCTCCTCACAGCCAAGGACGGGGCGCGGCTTCTCCTGGAGCTGCCTCCTCTCACATGGTGTCCCCTGGGCTAGACACCCAGTGGACGGGGGAGCCCTACGGACCACTCAGAAGTTAAATGCTCACAGAGCTACTTGACCATTCGACATTTTGAACCACTCAGAGCCATGAACACCGTCAGGACTAATAACCACCGTGCGCGAAACAAGAGCCTGCCTCTCAGCCACAGCACACTGTCCTTGACCCCACCTGACACGAGGGTCCATTCTACACGGAGTCTCATCACGGAATGGAGGTAGACTGGACAGAAATTCTGTTCAAGGACAAGAACACTGGTTCAAAGAAGCTTTTGTTTAATTACCTAATCCCGTACAGCTTTGCACTTTTACTTTTTTTTTTTTTTTTTTGGTGAGGAAGACTGTCCCTGAGCTAACATCTGTGCCAATCTCCCTCTATTTTGTGTGTGGGATGCCACCACAGCATGGCTTGATGAGTGGTGTATAGGTCTATGCTACGGATCCAAACATGCAAACCCCGGGCTGCCAAAGCAGAGCACAAGGACTTAACCACCATGCCACCAGGCTGACCCCTAAGTTACTTTTTTTAAAAAGTATCTGTATGAAGCACTTGGGCACCGGGGGCCACTTAAGACGACATAAGATGAAAGCAGACACAGAAACCTCATGACCCCAAATGCATCAGAAAGGAAAAGCAGAAGACCGTGCTGTCTAGTCTCTCCATCAACCCACTCCTAACAGGAAGGAGTGGACCTCGGATGCAGTGTGACCACCCGGAGAAGAACGCTGAAGAAAGCCCCCCACCCCACAAACCCCACTGCCACCCGGCCGTGCACCAGGCCCCTCCTGAGCAGCACAGTGCTGCGGGGTGTCCTGGGAACGCAGGTCGCCACTAAGCTCCCCTTCCTCATCGTGGACATCCCGGTGAGCTCCATGGGCAGGGTGGCCTGCACAGGCCAGCTCATGACGACGTGCCGGGTCTGAGGGAATCTGTGCTGGCTGGGCTGGCCCGGCCGTACAAACAGCAACCCTCTCCAACGCCCGAGAGAACCAGACCAGGAGGAAAACGACTGAGAACCCACCTACTGATTTGTGGCGTCCGCCTTCACCTTTATCCTAACCCCCTCTCTCCCAGGTAATCAGAGAGTGCCAGGAGAAGAGAGGACCCCACACATCACCCCGTGATCAAGAGAAGAGACACACCAACTACAGCCACGGCATCTGACCCCTCCATCCTTAGCGAGCAAAGGCTCTGGCTTTCCTCAAGTGCCGGAGCATGTGCCGAACCAGAACGAGGCTGACTGACGCAGGGAGAACACCCCAACCTGTGATCCCAGAGCTCCAGACAGAAACCAGTCTGTGATATAGAGGGACTACCGGCTTGTTCCCTAACATTCACAGACCCAAGTCCACATGGTGACACTCATTTCAGGGGCTCTTCAAAGACACAAAACAGCTACGTCTGTGCACAGCAATGCCACCCACGGGTGCCCGCCACACTCCAGGGGACCTCTCCTCCTGACCTCACGGGACTCGCCCACAGACAAGGGCACCTCCTCGCCCCCGTAGGTCTTCCTTACCTCTGCAGGGGAAGTAATCGCTTCCATCTCTTTCCTAAATGCAAATAAAAAAAAAAAAGAAACAGAACAACAACAACAAGCCCAGACCCAGAAAAGTTATAATAAGTTATCTTTGCAAGATAAATGCTCGAGTATTTTTCTTGCATCTCCCGCCACACATCTTACACATAAAAGAAAAGCAAAATTAGAACACAATCCACACACATACATACACACACACACACACACACACACAAACCTTTCAGAAAGCGGATGAAGCTGCGATCTCGGGCTACCCAAGGAGAGCGGCTGTTCTATTTATAGAACGAGAGTGCTCAGAAAAAGACTCTGGTGGGTTTCAGCGGAAAAGGCTGGGGAAAAGATAAAGACCAGTATTTCTTTGAAGCTTTCTCAGAAACTGCATCTCTCCTCCTGATTCGCTGCGCGTGAATACTATAGATATGCTGCAGAATATTTTTAAACACTCAGTCAAAAGTGATGAACTAAAAGTGGTCAAGAAAACAACACCCCTGAACGATCTGCTGCATTTTGCGTTTGGCAGCCTGTAAATGGCACCACAGGAAACCCTGCTCGGTTGGCAGGGCTCCTCCTTGCGCCCAGCAGAGCAGAGAACCACAAGCCAAAAGCCCAGAGCCCAAGCGCAGCTCACTCAGGCCATGCTGGGCGGCCCAGCTCTTCAAATCGTGTTGTCAAACTCTTTGCACAAACAAAACGGCCAACTCCATCCTTCAAGCAATCCAAGGCCCAGGGAAGAATCCAGCAGAGTATTCAGCCTGAGCCAACACATGGCCCTGGGTGCCACAGCCACCCACTCACCGGATGGACACGCACCCGGCCCACAGGCGAGCCCGCCCTGGCACCTGCTACAGGGGAAGCTCAAGTCTCTAGTCATCCAACTCAGGAACAAAGAACTGAGTGAGGCAGCTCTGGATATGCCCTTGAAAAAGGCTTCAAACCAGTGGACAGAGAGGCGAGAGCAGGCCCCACGGGCCCTGGTCCAACCCGCCCACCCACCAGGCGTCCTCTATCTTCAGGGGTCCCGTGCCCAGGCATGGGCTAAGGATGCCCCCTCTCTGCAAAGCCAGGGGGAGCCCCCTCCCTCGGCCCTCCCCTCTACTCCCTCCCCGGTCACGCGGCCTCAGCACCGGCTCTGAGGGCTACAGGGACAACTGAGACCAGAGGAGGGCACAGGACACAGGGCACCAGGGAAGGAGCAATTTCCCAGGAGGGAAGGCTTCACAGAGCAGGTCTCAGAAGATGAGCAGGGTCTGAGCAGGCCAGGCAGAGGGGCCCAAAACCCTCAGAGGCCCGCCGCCTCCTCGGGGCTGCAAAGAGAGCCCAACAGGGCCGGGCCCAGCTCCTGACAGCCAGGCCTGTCGGTCACAGGGGCCCCGAATCAGGGAGTAGAGTCTCCCTGATGTCCACTTTAGAAAGACGGTTTTGGCCACAGGGTAGAAGAAAGGGGGAGGGGTGAAACCTGGAGGCAGGCAGAACACTCCAAACTCCTGTAAGAGGGCCGCTGGAACGATGAGCTTCAGGGAGGAAGGAGACAGGGACAGAGACATGAGAGCATTCAGGAAGGAGACCCACCAGAGGAGAGGGTGAGGAGGAGACAGGACAGAAACCCAGGATGACTCCAAGGGGTCTCAGAGGGGAGGAAGTGGCTTCCTTTTGGCCACACCGACTCTAAGGGCCTTGAGGATAGTGGGGCAGCTGAGTGGAGAGCTGGCAGCAGATATGTGGTCGAGGGTATGAGAGAAAGTTTAACAGGGAAGACGCCTCAATGAAGTCCCTTATGGAGAAGGAGGGGAACGAGAGGAGGCCCAGGGAACCAGGAACCCCAGGACACCAACATCGGGCACAGAGAGGAGGTGGAAGTCCAAAACAGAGGACGAGAAAAAAGTAGCCAGAAAATCAGGGGAGCAGATGCCAACATGCCAAGAAGACCATGTCGATGATGTCCAATACAGCAGTGAGGTTGAAAATCAGGGCTGGGAGGGACCAAGAGGAGGTCACCGAGGACCTGCCGGAACAGTCTCCATGGCCCGCCCCAGGGCAAAGCCAGGTCAAAGTGCTGGATGTGACTGCGACCGGGATGGGAGGAAGCAAAGATGGCAGGCTGTTTCTCTCTAACTTGCATATTTCTTAACTTTCTATAAACATGGAATCATACTGAACATACCGTACTTTAACTTCCTATTTTTTCTGTCATGATATATTGTCAACAACCTTCCATATTAGTCAATACATTTTTGTGGGCTACAGAGTATTTCGCTGTGCGGATGTGCGTATATCATCAACTCAGTCCCACTGCTGGGACACTGAGCATGCTTCCACTCAATACTACCAACGATGCTTCAAGAGAACGGTTATCATGAAATATCTCATTCCCTAGAGCAAATTCTAGCAGTAGAATTTGGGGACCAAAGACAGCCCAGAAACTGGTGCTCACAGATTTGCAAGCACGACGTATGACAGCAGCGGCACCGCGGGCCGGCGGGGGAGGAGGGACTGGCCAATGAAGGGGTGGAGACACGGGTGATCCAAGGGGAAGATGCAACATGTCCCTTCCCTCACACTACAGGCACAGACGTGTCCAGGTGGACAACAGAGTCAACGCAAAAGGTCAAACTCTAAAAGTTTCAGCAGCTAATACAGGAGAATTTCTTTATGAGCTTGGGATTGGGGAATTTTCTTAAGTAGGACTAAAATATACTAAATATAAACTGTAAGACTGCCAAAGCCATCTATATTCCAACTGAGAACTTCTGCGCATCAAAGACATCTTACAAAGAAAGAGAAAAGA